AGTAATGGAGAAATTGAGGAACAAAATGGTAAGATGTTAAAAAAAATCAAATAGCTAAGTGGCAAAATAAATCCTTATCAGTAATTACATCAAATGTAAATATATTAAGCTTGTCTATTAAATGAATGTACAAAAGAACGTATGTAATTTATAAAAGATAATGTAATGAATTTCTGCAACCACCAATCCAAGAACTAGAACCTTACCAGTGATTAGCATGTATTTCTGTATGCCTTTGTCTTAGTCTTTTTGGGCTGCTATAACAAAAATACCACAAACTGAGTGGTTTATAAAGAACAAACATTTATTTCTCACAGTTCTGGAGGCTAGGAAGTCCAAGATGAAGGGGTTGATAGTTTTTTGTGTCTGGTGAGGGACTGATCCTCATAGATGGTGCCTTCTACCTGAGTCCTCACACGGTTAAGGGCAAACAAGCTCCCGTAGGCCTCTTTTATAAGGGCCCTAATCCCATTCACAGAAGCTCTGCCTTCATGACCTAATAACCTCCCTAAAGGCCCCATCTCCGAATACCATCACCTTGAGGCTTAGATTTCAACATGAGTTTTAGGGGGACTCAAACATTCAAAGCATAGCATTCTTCCATAACCCATCCTTTTGCCCTGTGTGTTACTCTGTTCCTACCCTATCTAACCACTATTCTGAATTTTGTCATCGGTATTTCTTTTTATTTAAAGTAACTTTTTTCTTTTTCTTTTTTTTTTTTTTGCGACAGAGTCTCACTCTGTTGCCCCGGCGAGAGCGCCCTGGCGTCAGCCTAGCTCACAGCAACCTCAAACTCCTGGGCTCAAGTGATCCTCCTGCCTCAGCCTGAGTAGCTGGGACTACAGGCATGCGCCACCATGCCCGGATAATTTTTTCTACATATATGTATTTTTAGTTGTCCAGATCATTTCTTTCTATTTTTTAGTAGAAACGGGGTCTCGCTCTTGTTCAGGCTGGTCTTGAACTCCTGACCTTGAGCGATCCACCTGCCTCAGCCTCCCAGAGTGCTAGGATTACAGGTGTGAGCCACCGCACCCGGCCTAAAGTAACTTTTTTTGTATTTTATTCCTAAATAGCATGTTGAGGTGTTTTTGTTTTGCCTGTGTTTTCAGCTTTATAAAAATGCTATCATACTTTAGTTTTCTGGGATTTGCTTTTTTAACCCATCATAGTGTTTCAAAATTTCATCCATGTTGCTGCATGAAGCTGTAATTTTTTATTTTCACTGCTATATGATATTCATTTATATAAATATGCCACAATTTATCTGTTCTTTACTGATGAACATTTTAGTTGTTTCCAATTTTTTGCTTTGTGGTAGTATGCTGGTATTTACATTCTTGTACATGTTCCTGGGGCCATGAAGAAGTTTCTCTGGAGTATGTAACTAGGCAGAGAATTAGAATTGCTTGTCATAGGGTATCAAAATGCACAATACTGTAAGATAATGAAAAATCATTTTCCAAGCTGGTTATACCAATATACACTCCTTCCAGCAATATAATGTATAATTATACATTATAATGTATTATCTTATACATTATACAGAAATGTATAAGGTTTCTTTTTGATGTACAGTCTCTCTACTATTTGGTATTATCAGAATTTTTGTCAGTGCAGTAGGTATAAAATAAAAATTAATTATAGTCTTAAATCTGTGTATTTGTAATTACCAAAGACATTGAATATCTTTTCATGTTTGTTTTCCATGCATTTCATCTTTTGCCTGTTTTTTTTCTATTGGGTTATTTGTGTTTTTTTGAAAGTTAATTTGTAAGAATTCTTTATATATTCTAGATACTAAGCCCTTGTCAGTTTTATGAGTTAAAAAACTTCTGGTTTATGACTTTTCACTTATTTTTAATGATGCCTTTTGATGAACAAAAGTTCTTAATGTAGCCTCATTAGGTCTTATGATATTCTTTAAATAGATACGATTATCACATACTAGATTTTCCACTAAGTATTTAGTAGGTTTTTGGCAGCTCTTATGAGTAGAATTTTTTTTCTATTCCCATTGTATTTTCTTGCTGTATGTAACTAAAATGAGGAATGTAATTGATTTCATGAATATTTTTGTTATTCTAAAATACACAATTATTATATTAGAAAATAGTCACTTGTGGCCATTGTTTTGTAACTTTCAGACTGTCTTTGGAAAATAGATTTAACTTTATTCTTTGATAATAGCTAAATAATTTATCTTTTTAAAGACCCTTTCTTCATTAAAAGACAAGTTTAGAAGAAAAATATTTAATCTTAAAAGATACTTTACTGGGCGTGGTGGCACACACCTGCAGTCCCAGCTACTTGGGAGGCTGGGGTGGGGAGATCATTTTGGCCCAGGAATTCAAGGTTACATTGAGCTATAATTGGGCCATTAGCTTCAACACAGCAAGACCATGTCTCAAAAAAAAAAAAGATACTTGTATATGGGAGGGGTTTCACTGTGTCACCCAGGCTGGAGTGCAGTGGCACAATCATAGCTCACTGCAGCCTCAAATTCCTGGGCTCAAGGATCTCCCTGCCACAGTAACTGGTACTACAGGTGTGTGTCACCATGCTTAGATAATTTTTAGTTATTTTAGGGGAGACAAGGTCTGGCTGTGTTGCCCAGGCTGGTCTGGAACTCCTGGCCAGCAGATGAACAAAAGTTACTTTTTAGGAACTCAGAAACTCTTGTATTACACTGTAGTAACCACAGAAATCAAACTTTAGTTTACAATACAACATATACTTCTCTTGAAACTGAAAATAACTAGTGTGTATACAGCTAACAAATGTTAATATATACATTAATGATAAGGCTTATTCTAGGCCAGGCATAGTGGCTCTTACCTGTAATCTAGCACTTTGGGAGTTTGAGATGGGAGGATCATTTGAGGCCAGGAGTTCAAGACCAGCCTGGCAACGTAGCGAGACCCTGTCTTTACAAAAAATTAAAAACATTAGCTGGGCGTGGTGGTGCACACCTGTACACCTGTCCCAGCTACTTGGGGACAGAGGCAGGAGGATTGCTTGAGCCCAGGAGTTTGAAGTTGCAATGAACTATGATGACGCCACTGTACTCTAGCCCAGGCAACAGGCAAAACCCTGTCTCCAAAAAAAAAAAAAAAATCTTACTGTAAAAACGTTTCGTTCTATTGTCTGAGGATCACTATCAGCCAAGAGAATTATATAAATTTTATTTACTGTAGTTTGTGTAGTGAGCTGAGATGCTTTGAAGGGTTAATGAATAAAAAGGTATAATGCAATTATAGTTGCTAGGGAACTTTAATAAACGCTATTTGCTTCTGTACAAAGCTTGCGGTTAGCAATTGTTAGAATTCAGGGCCTGATCGCCCTACGCGAAGTATGTCAAGGGTTCAACTTATGATCGATGTGTAACTGGAAGAATGTTCTGTGTTTAATCTATAACTTAGATTGTGCTTTACTTCAATGATTGTAATCTGTCTTTGGGCACCAGAGATCTGTGAGAACAGCCAGATCTCAGGACTCTGTGTCATTGAAATATTGATTGTACATCCTGCCTTTGTTTCCTTTGTTCTCAGAATACCTGTTTTATGCCACGTAGCCTCCCTCAAATTAGTATAAAATTCCTGTAGAAGCAAAAGACTGGTGCCACTCTCTTGTACTGCTTTTATGCGGGCAGAGGTGGTCGCTGGCCAGCTAATAAAGACTCTCAATTTGGCTCCATTGAATTCTCTCGTGGTCTGTTCGCGCCCTCCACACTACAACAGTTTGTATTAAAAAATAATAGTTGTTACTGTTTTTCAAATTATGAAACTGCATATGCATTTTCAAGCTGCGTTTACCTCTCACTCCAAGATTCAAATGTATTTCTCCTGGTAGGAATGATGGTAATACTCCCAGGTAAAAATTGTGCTCTAACATTTTCAACTCATATTATGATGTCTACCATTGTGGGTATGTTCTTTCTGTCTTTTCTCCTCTAATATTATGGTATTTGTTAATTAGACTTTGTAGTTAATATTCTCATGACATTTGTGAAACTACATTTCTTGTTACTTCAATTGTAAATTTTTATTTTGAGTGATTTTGCCAGAAGTAGACATGATGTCATTACTCATACTTCCATTTCCCAAGAAATGTGTAATTCTAATTTAATTAGTTTTTGTTTTTATATTCCAAAGTGCACATAGGATACTTCAGTGTCTGAGGATCAGTGACTTGGGATTTTAATATTTCTGGTATTTTCTATCTCAATCCATCAATCCATTCTTTCTCTCTAAGCTAAATAATTGTATTCCTTAGTCCCAGAGGTATATTGAGCTATTTTCAGAGGTCTGTAGCTGGGTATGGGTAGTGTATGGTTGCAATATTGGTTCTGTGATTCTTGCTCCTTGGCTAAGCTAAATTTCTGCATGCTGCTTAAAAAGAGTTTCACTTCAAGGTGCATTACTTTGAGTAGATAACTACTTGAGATTCTGCTTTCTTTGTCAAATCTTCCCTGAACACACCACAGCCTAAGGTTGTCTCTCCCTTTCCTGAATAGTTTTTACATTTATTTTGACATTTATAATGTCAACTTCATTACCCTACTCCCTTTAGCATTCCTTTCATGTAATGATTAGCATCAATAAGAATAGATGAGACAACATGGATTCACATGCATTTCATTTATTTGTACTGACAACTGGTCATCAGGAGATACTTTGCAAGACCTAAATTCATTGGTATACGTGCTTATATGCTTATCTGTTTCCTTGTAACTGTAATCTAGGATTCTTTTCTGGTTATCCTTGTTCATTGCAAAGATGCCTTCTAGATTCCTCCCCAGAGCTTCTCCTAAACTGGAGCTGGCTAGACTATTTATTGTTCCACCCCTTCTTATGGTTGGATTTGTTACTGTGATGGTTTTTCTTAATAAAACATCATTAACAAGATAAGTGGTTCTATTATCTAGGCAATTTGGGATGATACATTCATGGTTTAGTCTCAATTTTATTTTTTTTTTACTATTGTAGATGCGTCCATTTGTTCACTTTGTACGTGAAATATTATTTACATCAAACACGGTGAACTTTCTGTCCAGGTATGTATGGGGTCATGGGATCATGTAGTATGATCATGTTATAAATCTCAGGGTGAAAATGTCTTTTTCTGGGGAAATATATGGACCATAGTCATCAAAATGTTGCATCTGATGTAAGAATACTGGACTTCCCCAAAGAAGGGAGAGTGGGAAAGGGAAAAACGTTTGTAATCTTCTCTCCTAATTTTCTTTGTCACACCATACTTAGTCAATTCACTGTTTCATATACAGAGCTTGATAATTGCCCAGCACTGTTCTTCATCTCTGATCTAACTTCCCTAAGAAGATGGATTTTTTTTTTTTAAAGTTAGACATCTAAAGAGTTTTCTCTCTCTGAGCTAGAATACTACATGAACCTTGTCTTCTGGCTTTTCTAATTAAAATTGTTTTTAATTTCTATTTGTGGCAAAGATAAGTACACTTTGCCTATAGTATCTAGCAGCCATTGAAATTAAGGCAATGTGACTTGTTCTGCACAAGGTAATGCGGACTTCATTTAAAAGGTATGTCACTTCCGTCTTTCTCTTTTCCTGTCATGGCAACCTTCTGTTGAGATAGAGGGAGACTATATTCCTGAGGTAGCAGAGAGGCCTTGTTAAACTATGTGGAACTTTATATGGGCAGGAAATAAACTTTCATTGTTTTAGGTCTTTAATATTTGGGGAGTTTTGTTACTATAACATAATATAGCAATCTTATACCTTATTTTTTGTATATGTTTTATAGCATGTATATAACTTATAAAAATATAAATATATTGATGGTGATAGCATAGTTAGCATAGTGTAGAAAGGCTTTCATGATCTAATTCCTATCTGTCTCTCCAGTATCATTTTTTTGACGAACCCACCAATTTTTACAGAATCCGGCATCATTTTAACAATATCCACACCTCTAACTGTATAATCACATTCTTCCAGATTGAACACCCCATGCCGTTTCACACTTAACGTGTCTTTGTACATGCTCTTTCCTTTAGCAGAATTCACTTTTCTCTTTCTACCTATCAGATACATATGTGTCTTTCAAATTCCAGATCAGCCATCACTTTTTCTAGGAAAGGTTTCCTGATTTTCTCTATTTTCTATGCACATTTGGAGTTTTTTCAGTCCATGGGATGACCTATTTACTTTGTCTCTGTCTTTATTAGTGTATTATAAATTCTTGATATAGTCATTTCTTATAACCTGGTCTATAGTAGGAATAAAGAAATAATGAACCCTACTTTTGAACAGAGAATGATGTAAACCTCTGTTTGTTAACAACTTCCTGAAAATTCACTGACAGTCACCTTAGGGTAAAATATGTGCTATGGTTTGAAGGTGTCCCTTCCAAAATTCAGACCTTGCCAATGTGATAGTACTGAGATGGGGCTTTTAAGAGATGATTAGGCCATAACGGCTCCTCCCTCCTGAATGGAATTAGATGCTCTCATGAAGGGGCTTGATACAGGGAGTTTGTGCTCTCTTGCTCTTCTCCCACGTGAGGATGCGCCAAGAAGGCCCTCACCAGATGATGGCACCTTGATCTTGGACTTCCCAGCCTCCAGAACTGTGAGGAAGTAAATTCTCTTCTTTAGAAATTGCCCAGCCTCAGATATTTTTTTGTAGCAGCACAAAACAGAATAAGACAATAGGTGACCTTTTGTACAGCTTTAGGAGGTCAGGACAAAAAGAAAAATAAGAGGTCAGAAAGGAGGAATTCTGCCACTTTACAGTTTTACTGTGATCTAGTTAAGACTCCCATAGTGATTATCATACACTGTATTCCTTTGTCATATACCAAAGTGTGGTAATTTTCTTATTCTTCCATTTTGCTATGCGAAGTTGCTTGATATTCATGAAGACACCTCATAATTGGTAATATTCTGGAATTCTTTGTTTTTCTGCTAATTTTTTTGCCTTTTTAATGTAAAGTAGAACATATGTTCAAAAAATGAAAATGTATAGGTACAGATGAAAGAACTCTTACGTATCCACCACCTATGTAAAAAGAAAATGACTTTATCATAGTCCAGAAGGCCCTATGCACTCCTCTCTGATTGCACTCCCTTTTCTCCTTGGAAATAATCACCATTCTAATTATATGTGAATCATATCTTCGTGTTTTGTTTTTCACCACAGTTGTCTTTACTCCTAAATAAAATGTTAAATTTGCCTGCTTTAAAACTTTATAATAAGTAGAATCATGTTGCATGTATTCTTCTCTGACATGCTTCTTTTTTGCAAGATTGTTTTTGAAATTCATCCATGTTGATGTATATGGTTGTATATCATTTATTTTCACTGCTGTGTAATACTCTATTGAATAAACATACCCTGATTTACTTATCCATTCATGAACATTTGGATTGTTTCCAAATTTTTGCTATTACAAAAAATGCTGCTATAACATTCTTAATATATGTCCTATGTAAGAATTTTTCTGTAGTAGTAGAATTGCTGGAATATGGAATATGTCATGTTCAGCTTTGTGAGATAATGCTGAACTGTTTTCCAAAGTAGTTAAAACTATTTTTTCTTTCATCAGCAGTGAAAGGGCATTCTTCCTTTACCCTACATCCTTGTTTATAGTTGGTATTATCCATCTTAAAAATTTTTGCCAGTCTGCAGGTGTGAAATGGTATACCATAATGATTTGAATGTACATTTCCTTGATTATAGCTGAGGTTGAACATCTTTTCATATTAGGGGCTTGTACCTTTTTCTTCTGTGAAATTCTTATTCACTTCTGTTTCTCATTTTTCAACTGGTTTTCTGTCTTTTCCTTTTTTTATCCATGGGAATTCTTTATTCCAGATACTAATAATTTGTCAACTAAATGTGTTGCAGGTATCTTCTTGTAACTAATTGGATCTGGGAGGTGAGGGAGAAGTAATAGTATAGAATTTACTCCTAGGTTTCTGGTTTGGGGAACTGAGTGGATGATGGTACAATTAAACTAGGACATAGAATAGAGGAGGAGAAACAGATCTGGGGGGGGGAGGAGAATTAATTTAAGATATTTCGGAGCTTAAACTCCCTATCAGGTACCGAGGTGTAGATGTGTCTCATAGAAATTTGGCTATAGGGGTTTGAAGCTCAGGTCAGGCTCCATCTCTTATGCCATATTAGTCCTGCAGGAATCTTATATGATGGGCCTCTCGGGAGGCTATAGTTAGAAGGAGTGTGGTGGTTCTCCAACTCATTTGTCCTCTATCCATCCCAACTTCTTCTCCAGGCCATAGATTCTCCAATCTAACCATTTTATGAAATAAACGTCCCAATCAAATGACCCCCAAGACACTTCATCTTAGTTATAATTACTTTATTAACTTTTTGGGCTCTCAACATTTAATCTCTCCTAATATTTTCAGGAAAACACATCATTTTTATTTTGACAACCATCCGGCACATTTGTCTTATATAACACACAGAGCATGTATCTAGATTAAAAATTTTTCACATTACTCATTGATATGTAGTACTTAAATCACAAATTACTTTATGTACACTAAAAACAATATATGAAATATGTACATCTAAGAATTCTACTTTGTACAGTCTTTCATTAAATAATAATATTTACACATACATTTCCAGACATTTCTAGCTTCCTATATGTATTTGGAATTATGCGTATTACTGTAACCACTGAAAGAATATGGGCCCCTTGGGAGAATGATAGGATAATGGAAATCCGTGGAGTAAAGACTGTTCTTAAAAAAGGAGGCTGTATTATCACTTTGGTTGCATACCTTTTAGTTGTTTGAGAATCTAAGAACTCTGATAAACCTAGAAGCAGAAAGATCCCTTAAAAACCTTTGGGAGATAGGAAAGGTGAGGAAAGTGTCAGTAGCAGGGGTAGAACTCGGTACATTCTCTGTGTAGCACCTCAGCTTAGCTTATAGTACAGTTCCAGGGCTGATGAATCATCTACTTTCCTTCAGGAGGAGTAGCAGCTAATATGGTGACTGTTGGTCGTCTTTTAGGGGAACTGCAAACTAGGGACAATTAGGGCTGGAGGTGTCTCTGTGTAGGAAAGTGGTGGGAGAAGCAGCTTCTCTGTTGGCCCGTCCTTATCAGCACTTCAGTGATTTTTCTTCTCTCTGGTTTTTGGGGATCTTTTAGACCTGTAAGAAGAGAAAGGGGATGCAAAGGTGTGATACTCAGACTCTAGCTTCAGTCTGGGTTCTGCTTGGAACATACTGAGTTCAAAGATAACCCAAAGATCCTCGGGTAAAGGATGTGTTGAGCTTTCCTGCTGCTGCATAATTGTCATGGATTGCAGGGGCTGATTTTTTTAGGCCAGGAAAGGCTTGGGGGAAATTGGGCAGCTTTTCTTGGATAGTTGGAGCTCTGACTCAGGTCGAAGCGACCTGCTGACACTTCTGCACAGGTGATCAGGGTAACTTTAGATACTTCCCACACAAGACGGTACCTCAGTATATAAATAAATGGAAGTAGGGGAGAGCATGAGGGTAACATTTTAAAGCCAATGATCCCATAGCAAAGCCCAATGCAAATATTTCTGACTTCCCAAGATTGCTGTTACTTGGCGAAGAATTGCTCTTTAGGAAATGGCAAACTTACCTTTCCTTGCTAACTGCTTTCAGTAAATTCTTGATGGCCTTAGATTCCGGATTCAGACATCTCTTCTCCCCCTTCTTTTTCATTGTGGCACTATAGAAGTAAATGGGGTGAAAACATTTTAAACAATGTTGGACCAATAAAACATGGAATATATAGTTCTGGAGTCAGGCATTTAAGTTTCACTCTACATGTTTTCCCGTGTTATACATTAGTTTTAGAATCACTGCAAACCCTTTACTGATATTTTGCCATTATCATGAAATATTTCATGCAGTATATGATTACAATGAGGAAGGTGACCAGATAGGATTTTACTCACATGATCTCAACACTTGGACAAGATTGACTTGCAGGAATAATTTCAAGTTTTTCTAAGGACCTTGGATTAACAGGTTGATTACTAATTTTGATGCAGGTACAGCGCACAGTTCTAGAGAGAGGCATTCCTGCAGGAAAAGAGACAGGTACAGCAGGGAAGGTTAGTAAATGTTTCATTTTAGGTGTTTAATGCGGAGTGGGTAGTATTTAGCAGAACCTATATCCCCATATCATTGCATAGTCACTTAATCTGAGAAGGAATGCATTCCGTTATAACATAGCTCTGAATGATTAAATAGTTGATTATCTGGAAAAAGAGATTGCAATTCATTGATTATAAAATCATATCCTTAAGCACAGTACATGTGGTTAATTAAACTTAGGTAAAGAGGTATCTGTGTCTCATCCTCTCTCTCCTCGTTCCCTCACATTTTCTCTCTCTGTCCTCTTTCTTTCCTATCTCTTCTGTCTTCCCTCCCTCCATCCCTTTCTTCTCTCTTCCTTTTATTCTAATTGTTTCTTTTCTGTCACCAGCAGGAAATCTCTGCTTATTTCCCTCTTATTTATAGGCATGCAATGACATTTTTGCAAATACATTATTTCTGTATTTAAAAAATTTATACCCAGTCCTATTTCTCATTTTACAAATTATCCCTTGATGTTCCTTACCTTGAGTGCCACTCAGAGTCAGAAAGATGAGGCAGAAAATAAGAATGGCACTTTGGTTCATGGTGCTGAGACTGGAGATTCCTCTGCTGTAGGCTCAGAATATGTCAGAGCAGCTGGGGAGTGTCTCAGAAAACGTGGGGCTAGTCTGCAATATTTATCTGCAAAGGCACTTTCCCTCCCTAACTCTGATTGGATAACATTATGGTTGACTCAGCAGAACCTGCTGGCCGTTCCTTGGGGAAGTCCCAAATTGGAAAATCGAACGTATATTTGTATTTATCGTGGCCTCTGAGTTACGGAATTTCCCTCTGCCTACTTTTTTTCAGTAACAGTGAGTTAGGTTTCACTTTCCAAAACATAAACTGTTTCTTGAAAAACAGAATTTCATTGCACATTGCACATTTTTTAAAAATGAAGCTTTAATTCTCATTTTTCTTATGCTTCAAAATAAAAATACCAACTTAACCCTTAAGTCAGAGTCCTAAATACAGTTTTTAAATGAGTATGCCTGTTTTGTATCCATCTTAGTTTGCAACAGTAAGGCATGAATAAGAATATTTTACATTATTTACTTTATGGGTTTCAGAAGTGTCAAACTTTCTCGTTTGATCCCCACAATAACCCTGTGAAGAAGGTAAGAAAGTTATTTTCATTTTATAGATGGATGAGGAGTCTTAGAGGTTATTGTACAATATTAGGTCATACAAAGGCTACTATCCATTTTTTTTTTTTTTTTTTGAGACAGAGTCTCACTGTGTTGCCTGGGCTAGAGTGCCGTGGCGTCATTTTACTTCACAGCAACCTCAAACTCCTGGGCTCAAGCGATCCTCCTGCCTCAGCCTCCCGAGTAGCTGGGACTACAGGCGTGCGCCACCATGCCCGGCTAGTTTTTTCTATATATTTTTAGTTGTCCAATTAATTTCTTTCTATTTTTAGTAGAGACAGGGTCTCGCTCTTGCTCAGGCTGGTTTCGAACTCCTGAGCTCAAACAATCTGCCCGCCTCAGCCTCCCAGAGAGCTAGGATTACAGGCGTGAGCCACTGCGCCCGGCCTATTTTAAACTTTTATAATTACTTTCAGAGGCTATTTTAAAAAATATTCTCAGTAATACAAATTTTTCATCTTTTTTAGATCTAATTTTTGGTAACAGCAAGTTGTATCTGATGATAAGGACAAGTGATTTAGCTGGGCAGTGCTCTTTGATCAAATACTATAAAGTAATAGGATTGGTCTTCTTAAGCGAGGTCAAAGATATGGAACTGGCAAGTTTTAAAGAATTCAATGAATTCTTGGATCATTAGAATAAGTGAATAGCCTCCGACATAGCTATTTTGAGAAAACACTACTCATTTGGATATCCAATTTCTAGGGTGTTAAAACAAGTTTCATATCTTGTAGCAGTCCCTGAATGAAGACATCCTAAAGTGACATCTAGAATGGTGTGAAAAGAGGATCCATAGCTATCATAGGGTTATTGCAAAAAAAAAAAAAAAAAAGGATGCTTTTTTGAGGAGATAAATTTCAAAGGGGGAGCACTAGTAGACACAGACCTCAGGAGAAGAGCTTGAGATAGGAGGTTGAGACAGCAGAGGTTGATTCAGGATGGAGTTCAGCTCCAAGAGCCTATTAAGTGCAAAACAAAAGAAAAAAGCATCAGCCACTGAGCTGGTAACAGTGATAACTGAAATTAGCACATTTTCAACTGGGTGACAAATGGGGGCAATGCTTGGTTTCTTAGCATTCAGTGGTACTTGGCTAATAGTTCACAATAGATAACAGTAGAAACCATATGATACCCCTACAGTAGAACATGTGTTGGACCCGACAATGGAAATTCAGCAGTATCCAAGGGATATAGTGGCCCTTGGCTGTGTTCTTTGCAAGTTAATTGGCAACAGGGGCTCTAAGATGAAATACTGGTTCCAAATGCAGGCATCACTCTGCAATGGGAGATCTGAGGCAGGTAATATTTGGAACCTAGGAAAGTATATGGGAGGTCTTTTCATAGTCAGCTAGGCTACAGCAGTGTATGGATGGGCCTGTGTTATTTTCATACTTTTCTTTAATTCTTTAGACATGGTATTCTTTAGTTCTTTGAACATATTTATAATAGCTGACTTAAAGTCTTTGTCTAGTAAGTCCAATGAGAAAATGCCTGGGTCTCCTTGGAAATAGTTTCTAGTGATTGCTTTTTAAATGTGTATGAGCCATACTTTTTCTTTGTATTTCTTATAATTCGTTATTGAACACTGGATATTTAAAATAATATAATGTGGCAACTCTGGAAATCAGATTCTTCTCCTCCTTAGAGTTTGCTGTTATTGCTGGTGGTGGTTATTTGTTTTGTTTAATGAATTTCCTGAGCTAATCCTGTAATGTCTTTATTCTTTATAGTGTGTAGTCACTGAAGTCTATGTTCACTTAGCTTAGTGTTCACCTAATGATTGGATTAAGATTGCTTTAAATGCTTTGAACCAGTAAGTCTGCTTTACTGAGGGGCTCTGTGTGTGTGTTGGGGTAGGCCTTCAATGCTCTGGCAGACAGTTTACAATTCTGCCCTAGCCTCCACTTTCTGTTTGCATAGAACCTCAAGGTCAGTTTGAAGTGAGAGAGTAGGGCCTCCTCAGGTCTTTCTCTGAGTATGTGCCTACCCATCCCTGAACATGTATGGTCTTCTAGATTCCTTTTCAAAGCTGCCTGTATACATCTTGTTCCCTACTTTTGCTTCCTTTTAAATTTTTAGTCAACCTCTTGTTAGACCCAACAGATTTGGTAATTGGAATTAACAATTGCTGCTGATTGTTTTTCAGCAAACATCCTAAGGGTAGGGCTGTTCATACCAAGTGAGCTCTTGATCAAATAAAGACAAGCTTTGAGAATGAATCTTTTAAGGGAGATTCTAGACAAGTCAAATAGTGATAATCATCTGGGGTTGGAGCTTTTGGGGAGTTCCAAACCCATTCTGCTTCTCTGTTGGCATCAAGGCTGCTTTTCAGAGCCACGTAGTTGTGAGGCTGTTAGTTTTCAAGGCTACTACAGAGCTGGGGATAGGAGAATGAGAATAGGACAGATTAAAAATGCCACAAGCTTTCTGTTTTTACCAAGATTCAGCTGTGTGTTTTAGAAATTCTTTGGATTACTGCAAACCTTTGGCTAATTTCCAGAGATTGGAGAGAGTTGGTGTTCACAAATTTTTTCCAGTATTCTTTTTGCTTCTATAGAGCAGCAGATTTTCAGGGGTCCTTACTACACCCATTCCAGAAGTTTTTTCTTAAGATTTATTTTAATGGTTCTTTTGGGGTACTTTATATATTTATATATTTTATAATTTATTTATATTTTGAAATGTTCAAATCTTAGGTACCATTAGATGAGTTTCACAAATACACAAACTTGTATAACCTGAACTCCTATCAAATTGTAGAATGTTACCACCATTCCAAAAACTTCCTTCATGCCTCTTGCTAAGCAATCCTCACACCACCTCCTCTATCCCTGACCCAACCTCTCTTCCAGTTTTTTTTTTACTACAGATGATTGTTTTTCACTATATATTGTTTTTTTCCCATTTATAGGAAGTTATAGAACAACTTAAGTGACATTTAAGTATATACTCCTATGTGCAAGGCATCTTTTGTTCAGTATAATATTTTTAAGATTCATCTATATAGTTGCATGGATCAGTAATTTATTCCTGTTTATTGTTGTATAATAATTCCATCGCACAAACATATCAGTTTATTTCTTGTTGATGGACACCTAGACTGTTTTCAGATTTTATTAGGTATAAAGCTGCTATGAAGGTTTTTATATAAATATTTTTGGGGGCATATGCTTTCATTTCTCTCGGGTATGTATGTAGCAGTAGAACAGAGTGATATTTTTATCATAACATAAATGATCATGTCAGTCTTGTGCTTAAGACCCCCCAACAACTTCCACTTATACGTAAATAAAATCCAAATTTTTAATTAACCTGTTTTGCTAAGTCCTCTGTGATCTGGCTATTACCTGTCTCACCAGACTCATCTCACATCATTCTCTTTCAGCAGTTTTCTCTCTCCGGAATGCCTTTCCCCCTGGTCTTTGTGTAACTAGTTCCTTCTGGACAGTTGAAATTTTAGCTAGATTGTACCTTCTTTTAACCACACAGTCTGAAGCAGACATGACCTTATTTTAATTCTTTGCATGGCATTTCTCACTATCTGATGTTTGGTTCGTTTATTTTTCACTTGTTTAATGTTTGTTTCTTCACATTAGAATGTAAGCCTCGGGAGAGCAGGGATCTTTTCGGTCTTATCACCAAGGACTAAAACATCACCTGGCATATGGTAGGCATTCGGTAAATATCGGATGGATAGATAGATGGATGGATGGATGAATGAACCCTTACAAACTTTGAATAACAGCATAAATAAAAGAGGTACTTCTTCAAAAAGTGTTTTCATTGGCTCATCAGATTTCTCCATTTGGACATAGTATTACTGTTTTCCCTAATTTTAGGAACCAAGTTTAAGTTAAGAAGACTATGCTTTCTCCAGAAGTTAGCATAGATTTAGGTAGGTAAAATGAATACAGATATTCTCAGTTAGCTGTAGGCCGGGATCTTTATTCCAAGGACACTGCAGTAAATACACAAAAGCTTCTCATTATCTGTAATTATACATTGAATGAATGAAGGAATGCAAATATCCTCAGTGCAGATTAGGTCTATAGCCATGGACTGTGTTTGAAGAACAATGAGGGGGATTGGATTTGTTCTCATTATTGTCGGTCTACTTTGTGTAGGGAAGTAAGATAATCTCAGGGGATAAAATCCAAGGCCTGTGTTCTTGCTGGGTTTGCATTGTAATTGAGAAGACCAAAAACTGTGAAACAATAACTATCAGCAAAAGAAACTGTATGATCAATGCCAAATGACTGGTATAGAAAATAAATATTAATAATAAGGGATTTGATGGGAGACTGTACTCATTAAGGTCACAAGTTCTCAACAGATTTTTCAGAAAAAAATTTAGGCCTCAGATGAACCTTAAAGTGTGAATTATACTTCAGTGATCAGGAGGAGAAGCCAACTAACCAGTTAGGAAGGTTGGTAGAGTCTCATAGGGATAGTAATGCCTTGTTGGGATTCTGTAGGATCTGGTCCGCAGTTTTACAGGTACA